GGAACAAAGGGTTGACTCACGTCCGGGCTCCAGTCGGCGGAGAAAGGAGCCGGGCTAAAAATAGTACACTGGCAGTTACGAGTGCGGCCGTTGGACCTGGCCTACGCAGATCGTGTCTTATATTCTTGCCCAGACACAGGCTTCCCAATTACCAAGCTACATATTATTAACGCATGTAACTACCTACTTAATTATCTTCAATCTAAAATGTTGCGTACTGCTTTACCCAGTATACTGATTATTCAGTTATCCTTATATACAATCCCACCTTCATGTTCGGAAGTAAAATTCTGTTTATGATTTTAACTATAGTTTACCACGGTAAACCTATGCGGTAAATAAGTAAGTACCTTCAGTAATGTAAGTTGGAGTAGGAAAATTCTGTTCCGTGAAATAAAAAGCAAGTTATGTATTGAAGGTGTCCCAGACGGTATCGCATTTCGCCAATAGAGCAAGAGCATACAAGGGAATTCTAAAGTTACTTATTGTGTACAAATGAATGCTACGCTAGCACTACTGAACTCCCACGATCGACACTTATTGTTTGCGTTGCACTCCAACATTTCTGCAACGTCTAGGTGTTGGGAAACGACAGCGAAGGTGTCGACTTTGAGGTTAAAACCGGCTGTTTGAGAAACCTTTCGAGTTTAGATTGCGAAAAGCGTGGAAAGCTCGTATTTACTTGCATAGAATTATACAGAAATTGTCTAGTAGTTACTTACGGCAAAATCAGACATTTGAGTGCAATCGTAAGATTTAACGCCTGCGAATGTCAAAGAGGAGCTAATCAGAGCGTACTTATATACACTAACAGTAGTTCTGTGGAAGTTTGTTTATGACGTCAGACAACATTTTGGTTATACAGCAGGTTGCCATACAATCAATCTTTATCAGCACACGTGGAGAGCTAATCGCGTCGCGTGACGACCTCCACGCTGTTACTGCTCACACAGTTTTGTTTATTTTGGATACGATTAAAAAGTGTCTATTTTAACCAGCACTCATGGATAATGTTGGTACAGATACCTATATTCAAAATGATACATAATAAGATACGATAGAAATACAACAGAAAAAAGCACAATCGATTAAAATGCAAGCCTAACAACGTAGGTATTTATAATGAACGCGGTTAAGGCTATATGAGATAATAATATGAAATCGCACATTTCGTAATAAAGATAGGTAGATCGCCATACACGTAAACCTCAGACTTTACTTAGAATCTAGCTCGCTTAGTAAGCACCGTAGGTATACAACCAAAGAAGAAGCACAAAAATAAATAAGGTAATAATAGGTGATGTGTTGCGATTTTGCGAACAATATCGGCAAGTTGCGTGCAAGCGTGGCACGAACACGGTCCGCCGCCCCACGTGATTACACGCCTTACTGACCAACTAACTACACTGGCGAAATAGTTAACACTGCCAGTCGCTTTGGATTGGTTGTAATTTTTCACCAAAAAACATAAATATAGTAGGCAGGCAAGTACCAATGAATTGTGTTTGTATAATGAATGATTATTAAAATACAAGTTTAATAAAAAATCCTTTCCATCTTAGGTCCCTTTCTTAGGTATTTCCTAATACAATCGTTAACGGAAAATTATACAAAAGTCCATAAAGTCGTATCGATTAGGCCTACCTATTGCAAAAATACCTATTCAGACATGTCTGTGGCATACAAAATCTTTCTGAATACAAAATATTATCAGGAGCTTCCCACCAATAGTTTTGGGACAAAAGGGAGACGGAACAAAAAGCTCTTTATCTGAATCTCAGAGTGGGACAAAAAAAACGCAGCCGTTGTATTTGTAAATATATGGCAGGTAGAGAAGGTTGTAGGTGTATTCAACGGTTTAAAAAGATTTTTTTTGGAATCGAATAATATAAGAAACGTGAAAAAAACCATACGAATACGATGCACCTTTCCAAATTCCCACTGCAGTTATTATGCGTTTACGCTGAGTCTACGAACTACTATAACTACTATTTAATATAGTGAGGAAAATCTGTCTTGGTCAAGTTATCATTATCACTTCAGAAGTCCAAATACTTCATAGGTATGTTTCTTGTAATAAAAATAATTTTCAGTTAGAGATATTCAACAAACTCATTGCCTCAAAAGAAATTAAAGAAGCAACATGCATCAGAAGCTGAACCTTAAAAGCGTTTTACTAACACCGTTCTTAATTTACGTTAAGTACCTAAACCATTTTCAGAAATCGTACACTTGTCCAAAGCTTAAGCATTTACCTAAATCTTTAAATTCTAAACTAACCCTCTTTCCTTTTCACGTGGACTTATATATTGGAGGCACTGGAGCCATACAACTCAACACAAAACAGAATATCCCCGAGCAACAAGTGTCTTTTACGCAAAGTAAAAGACCACAAAAACTTCGAGCAGGTAGCTTTTGTACTGATCAAACCATTTATAACCTTAAGGGTACACAATAAGGCCGGTTTCGCCGCATCATTGCGAATAGCTTCCAAAACTGGCTTCGTTAGTCAATTTTGATCCCTATCGAGATAGCTTTAGTTACGTTTCATAGAATCCACGACCAAACTATACCACTTAGCTTCGTCTGTAACTCACCCCTGCCGAGATTTGAAGAGGATCAAGCATTTATTTGAACACGCGAGATAGGCTGACTATTTTAATAAAATTCAATATGAACAAGATGAAAACTGGTTCAGGTACTTTTGAATTCTGATTAAGAAATGACAGGTTGGCTTCAGGGGTTCCCGTGGATGGCTATAAATTTTACATACATATTATTATTATGTATTGTGCCGTCATACAGGCTTATAACTTACTTTTTCAGTCTTTGTTTTTTTATTTGTCATGTCATGATTGAACGAGGGGCCATACCTCTCGTGTGATGTTAGTACACAAATTATACACAAGACAAGAAGTTAACCTAAGTACACGTATCTTCCGGTGCCTGTGTGGTAATCAAATAAATATAACCTCTTATTAGTACTTTTACTTTTCTACGGAAACTGCCTACTACGAGCTAAGTCGTGTTAGTTCTAAGCCAAGCTGAAGTTACATTATGAAGGAGTATTCCGAACAAATTGTTGAAGCATTTGAATTTTTAGCTTTATTGCACTTTTGAATGTTTATATTATCTGTAGGTATTCTTAATCAGGTACCTATATGTATCATCAATCCAATAGTATTGAGAGTATAACAGTGAATTCCGACAAAAATGAAAACTGTTTGAGACTGAAATAAAGTTGCGAAGAATGTTAGATAGCTGAGCAATTTTTTCGTAATATTTGACAAGTTAAAATGACTTCAGTCTAACTACTTGATTGATTGATTAAGATTTACTCAATTGACTACGAAGGCATTTTAATCGTAACTTAAAGGTACTGTTGTGTATGCTAGGTACATTTTATCGGTTTTGAGAATAAGCTGCAACTTTAGTAGCAAGGCAACATCATGCGGGTGCACGCAAGTCACAGCAACTGGTTTTACTTATTTTCCGTATCGTGTAATTATGGTATGGTGGTAAGAACATTGACTTAGGCGGGAAATTAACCGCTGTTGTGATCACTACACCAGAAACAAATTGAAAAAACGTTTCAACTTTCATAACTACAATTACTGCAATTGCAATAAACAATAAAGTTTAAATGTGGGTAATTCAGTGCTCAGAACGATCGTTGTTTGACAATTATCCCAGTCACAAATAATAATTTATGAGTTCTGTGACCCATAAAAGGTCATTATGGTTTGACTGTTCTTTGTTTTTTACCCGACTGTAGTTTAACATAAGGTTTACTCTGTCTAGTATTACCACGCCAAGAATTTGATTGAAAAAGGGTAAAAATATCCATAAAAGTAAATATAAATAGTAAAAGTAAATACCTATCACCTACAAACAAACATAGGTTTCCAAATTGAAGCTGTTGATACTTAGGTACCTAATTATGTTAAATAATAAAATGCATTAACGATATTTAAAATGTACTTAGGTGCCTGTCTAATAATAACATTAGTACTATGTTACAAACCGCGTACCTATTTAAGTACCCATATTAATACCGAAGTAGCTGCCTATTGCTTGTGAAATAACTAGGTAGGTATGTTGACTCCATTAAATATTAGTAATTTAACTACCTAATTTGGTTTGCAAGAAGTTCGTCTAAGTTATATACCTTCCCTGATGTTTTAAATTTAAATGTTTAGATACCTAGTTAGGTTATAATATTACTATTATAAACTGTAATTGTTGAATCGTAAAACTATAAAATCCTATTTTTTTTTCATTTATACCTATCAGTTCAAAAATACAGTCGTGGAAATAGTACAATGGCCTTTACCTACAAACATTATAAACTTCTTCACAGGTTAATTGTATGAACACTTGATATCAAACATCTAATCGGTTGGTGGATTTATCTTTGATAAAGTGGGTACGGGGTGGCTTAGCATATTATTACCTACTTATTTGCACAGCAATTTATGTTCTTACTTAAATATTGAAATGTTGTCTTTGAGTTTAGATACCTACTGGATCATTAGCGAACGTAAGTAGGTACGTAATATCTAACTACAAGTAATTGCTACCATAAAACTGCTGATATGAAGGTATTTCTACTGCCACGATGTGATAGTAATTAATTTTGACATAGCATTAGCGTGGTGTAAGTAGGTATTTTCGGTTACTTTGTTTGTATTTTGTACAGAAAGTCATTCAAATACCTACGATTATGTTTTAAAAATATTTACAAAAATGTTACTTTTTTACTTAAATAAATAGCAGAAACTGGGGCTGGAGTGGAGTTTAGAAGACAGGTTACGCGTGGCCCGGTAGATTCAAATTTGTTTACGGTTGTTGAAATAAAAAGTCGTGACTTTTGTAGTCGTAGGTAAGACAACATAAAATCACGTAAAATACGTTTAGTTATTAATGTGTAGCCGTGTAATAAATAGGGAAAATGTAGTATTCTAAAAATTCATTATTAAAAATAAATAATTCACACATACCTTCAAGAACAGATCACCAAAGTCGTACAGCGCAGACTGATGCATTATGGCAGTAGACATCATGCAAAACCAACTCGACACTTAATCCAGGTTTTAGTGCTTAATTTTCTCGTATCAAATATCTGCAAACTGACTGATCCACTGAAGCACGAATTTGTAAGGTAGACGAAATCACTGTAATTTTTAGGTTAGCCGATGAAAAGTTCACGATACTTTTTAACGAGAATTTTATGAAAACCTTTACAAATATGGTCCTTGTAATAATCTAGTAAATCGTTACGCTTTTGTTTTGTCGTTCGGTGACCACAGATTGTGTCCGAACTAGTTGGCCAGGGGCAATTTTTTTTTAATTAGCCCTCCACGATTGAGCCAGATCAGTATTTTTGAACACAATTTCGCAATCGTTGCGAAAATGTACAAAACAGTCCTTTGTTTCGAAATGTCTCCTTCACTTTTTCGCGTCTATACGGAAATTCACAGATTTTGGTCAAAATTCTGCGCGAACTGTCACGAAGTCAACTTTTATGATAAAAACTCTTTTTAGGTTATCGACTGTATACTCCAATACTTTTTAATTCTGGGCGTATAAATCGTAAGATAAAAAAATAAATCGCAGAGTCAACGTCCGCGCAAGACGCACCACACGTACATTCCGTATCACGCTTGCTCGCGCACTGAGCTTGTTGTGTTCGCCTTCGCCCGTGAAACGCCGGCAGGCCGGCAGCGGGCGGGTGGATTTTGTTTTCAAATCAAACATCGCGATCACGTTTTGGAGCGAGATTCGTTTTGGTTCGGGCGAGTTCGGCAATATTCGGCTGTATGTTTTGTTTGTTGCTCCGCCCGCCATAACAGTCATACAAAAAAAAAACGTCAGTCATCCCATCTTTTATTATCTGTAGGTATACAATTCTACATAACAATTTGAATATTTTATATATTATTGGCTCGGCTGTTTTAAAGTTTTTAATTTTCTTTGAATAGAGTATACCGGCCTATATTATTTAAATATATGTTTTTCGTCAAGTAGGTCGCACTCCCTAGTTTTTAGGCAGGTACCTAATGAATGGGCTCGCTGTCATTGCAGCGGTAAGTCCCATCTTTGAGGAGTGGCTCGAGAGACGCTACGGGGTCCTCACCTACCGCCTGTCGCAGGTGCTTACCGGACACGGAAGTTTCGGTAGGTAGAGTCCTGTTTCTGATTGGGCGGGAGGAGTATGCCCGGGGGTCATCACTGCGAAGACTGACCGGTGTAAGGTGGCGGCGGTGGCGCTGTGCCCTGTGTGGGCTGGGCACCGCCGTATCCTTAGCGATGTAACCGGTAACGGCGACCTCTCTTGTCCGGCTCTGGTTTATACCATGGTACGGAGCGAGGGGGACTGTGTTGCCGTTTCCTCCTTCTGCGAAGCAGTCATGCTAGCTAAGGAGGAGGCGGAGCGCGTGAGTAAATGAACCTCACGCCCCAGCCGTCGCGAGAGCGCGGGCCTGTGGACGGCGAGAATGGATGGCCTCCCGACCAGAACCATCGCGTCGCGTTCCGCGCGCGCCTCAAAGAGCCATCAGGCCACCACAGATAGGGCCCAATAGGGCTGATGCCGATACGGAGTCGCGGAGAACCTAACGGGTTACCGGGGCTCCGGCTCGAAGTGGGTGGTTTTTAGTCAGTAAGAGTCTGACACTCCCTCCCGCCTCATCTGTGGTGACAGATGGGCCCAGTAAGACTAATGCCGATACGGAGCCGCGGAAGACTTAACATGAAGAGCAGAAGTGGCAAACAGGGTGGTTTTAGTCAGTAAGAGTCTGACACACACTCTCTCGCCTAACCTAAGGCAGAAGAAGTAATCGGATGATTTTACGCCCTCAAAAAAGGCATATACCTCTAATGACGTAGGAAGTATTAAATACTTAATACCCTTTTTTAGTGTGGGTGAGCTATGCTTCGGCACGAATGGGCCGGCCGGCTCGACCGGAGTGATACCATGGCCGAGCAGAAAATCGACGTGAAACAACGCTTGCGTTGTATTTCGTCGTGTGAGTGAGGTTACCGGAGGCCCAATTAATGAACAGAATCACTAAGTACTAAGTAGGTAAATTTGTAACATGTACTTTCAATTATAGATATCAATTTATGAAGATAAAATGCATTACTTAGTTTATTGAATTTATGCGTAATTGAATGAAAAGTCATCGATAAATTACAATTTTAGCTGTTTTTAGCGAGGAAGTCCGAACGGATACCAAGTAAATATGAGTGATTGAAGCCGTGCACAAAAACTTGCGATTTTAGAGCTGGTTCCACCAATCGAGACGTCTTCCAGTCACCCAAGCAGGTAGCGACCATAGACGCGTATAGCGATTTTTTTTAAACTTTGAAGATGGATAATGGATAGAGTATTTATTATCTTTTGTAAGTATATACTGAAATACTCCAAATAATAAATAAGTCTGGGATACTTGAATAGTTTGAATGCAATCTTTGAGACAAGTATATATCTAAAAGAAAACAGACTAAGACTTAGTTCTTAAAATTTAGTATGATCTTTATTCTATTTACTTAACTCTTCTAACGCATTCTCAAGAACTTTTTAAACTCGTCGTAAGTTCGCTGATTCTTAACAGCAAGACCTTACCTTAACCGCTCGCGTCCGCGTCTCGGGAACAACTTTTTATTATAGCATTCGTTGGTTGCAAACCCGTTTGACGGATTTAGTGTTATGCGCTATGTTGCACACACCAAGCTTAAAGAATCGGAATCGAGCCAGCCCTTACATTGTTGAGAAAATGAGACTATACCGAGCCATAATTGCGAAGATTCATTTTGCTCGATGTAAATAAATTGGCTAACACTTTTGTTTACTTCGAAATGATTTGACTTTTGTGGTGGGTTTTTGTACTATGTATCTTATATTCGTTGGTATTGATGCCAAGTTTTGTTACAACATCAATATAGTTAAACCAAGTTTTTGCAGAAAGATGCCATCAGACCTCAGAGAAAGGTGGGCCGTGGGTGCTACTGCCCATTGTCCTCTAGATATAATCAGTATTACCACCCACAGTTGTGGATGGGGGATGTATGCTCTGACCGAGCCAAGACTCCTTGTTATTCAAACGATTCCCCCATAAATATAATAAAACGACTAGAAAGGAAACCGTTACACTTATTATAATTAGTTAATAAAGTAGCTGGACCTTATCGCAGGAAATATATGTATGTATGCCGACAAAATAACAACGCACCTAACTAGCATTGTTTTTAATCCCACATTATTAATATAACATATTAAGCCGATAACTTCCTGTGAGAATTTAATTAATGGATTTATTCCGCCGAAGTCATTTATGATATAGAATAATTTTTTAGAAACTTCTAAAAATAGGACACAAATTATTCCTAAGTCAAATATTATGAAAAAATTAAGAATCTTATTATTCTTGCAAATTGCTGGCTGAAGGCTGGCAGTCTCTCATGGGAAATATTTTGAAATGCGAGTTGAAATATAAACTGGAGCGATGTATTTAGGGGTCTCTTGATCATATGGAATCCCACAAGAGCGACCTTATTTCGTTCTTTTAGCGAAAAATAATGTATTTCAAAGTGCGATAAGTTTAGATTAATCTGTGAATTTGGATAATGTACCTACTAGGGACTTTTGCACTGATTTTATTCATTTGATTTCCGTATTACATAATTATACACATTGTGACAAAACTGTACAAATTTAATTATTCTACAACAAGATACAGAATAAATTATAGTTACTATATATACATACACATGTGTATAGATGAAATATTGCACAATATTATGTATACCTAATGAATTGTAGAAATCTGTAGGTTCTGTAGGTTAGGTATAAATTGACAAAAGTATTAAGTACTTTTTCTAAATGCATACATACACACATAACTTCATGCCTGTCTCCCATGGGGGTAGGTAGAGACTATGGAACTATTTTATTCTAGTCCTTTATTTATTTAGATAGGACTATATCTCCGTTAGAAAACCTACAAAACACGTTTGGGTCAACAAAAACAACGTTCTGCAAAGAACAACTCAGTCGAAATATTAAAATTAATTTATTCACGGAACCAAACGTCAACAAAAATGTTTGTTGTGCGACCGCCTTAGTATATTATGGGTCAGTGTCAAGTGTCGGTCACGTAATGCTTACTCCTAAACTTATGGCGCATGGTAGATGGTAATACAATACATTGTGTGCAAACAACGCTAGGTGATAGCTCAGATAGCCGTTGACAAAGCTATATCTACGCATAATTAGTGAATCAGCACCCCACTATTATAACTATAAAACCTTGGAATTAATCAATCAATGTCCTCGTGTTTTTACAATTAAAAATCATCTGGCAGTATATAATTTAGAATGTCATTAATGTTACATTCTTATTCGCGATTGCACCTAATCGCTGCTATCGTTGGTCTAAATAATATTTGCTCGCTTCATTCGTTTTATAAAAGCTGTCTGATTGACAGACTGACGTAATAATCAATGTTCAAGTCTAAGTAGAGTTTTTGTTAACCCCAGCACCTATTAGAGATGCTGAAATATTTGACACATTATTTTACATGTTACTGGTTATACAGAGTAGGAACTACATAGGTATCTAATACATACTTAACTAAAATACCTAATATCGTAAAGGAGATCATTTTTGGTAAGTACGTATCGGTACAACTAGCCATTTAGAGCAATCCTTACTAATATTATAAATCGGAAAGTGAGTTTGTTTGTTTGTTCCGATTTCACGCCGTAACTACTAAACGAATTTCTTTGAATTTTTGCATACGTAAAGTTAGAAGTTTGGATTAAATAATAGGGTACTTTTTATCCCGGAAAAATTTGTTATTCCCGAGGGAAAACAAAAGTATTGGTATAGATGGCGCCGTATGTATTGGTATATGTCACATAGGCTACTTTTTATCCTTTTGTGACGCGAGCGAAGCCGCGGTTAATAAAAAAAACTACAATGTAAACTTTGCACTATAATCACAATTGCCTTAGGTACTTCAATCGATATCTAGCATTATTTTGCGTTTCATAGCACCT